CCCTTCTAATATCCCAAGGATCATTTTCCCCAAGGCCAATCACACTTAAATACCATTACAGGAGTATATCAACCATTTAGTGCCAATGCAAAGTAGGTTAACCTGTCAAAGTTATTTGCTTAATCCTGAAAATTTGAAATGTGACATTTCAAGATCAGTTTACAATTCTCACAAGGTATTATTTATCTTTAAAAAATTATTAAACTTTTAATTAAGAAATATGTAGTTTTATTTGGGAAGATATATCCAGATATTTCTGTATGATTTATTTTTTTCTCATTTCCCCTCAAAAAACTACTTTTATCTGTGCATCTATACACAGCAAAATCATCTTAAGAAAAATAAACCTATAAACCTATAAGCTTATTTAGACATGAAAAAAAGGAGTAGCTTGATGCTTTATTAAGTAAAACAAAAAACAATAGAGTGTTTTTTCTGTCTAGAAAGCTACAGAATTCTGAGGAAGATAATATTAAGAAAACAATGATTGGCTATTTAAGAAATGTTGTGTATTATAACCATGCAATGTATTTTAAATTCAGGTATGAGGGTTATTTGCTCTCCAATTTTTACTAATTTATATTTTAGGTTCTTAGAAGTGCTGTTCCAGTTAAAGAAGCTGAATGATTTGTAATGATTTTTATGAGAAAACATATATTTATGAGAAAGCTGGCATATTTTCCAGAAATTTTGAAGCTGGTCTGCTTAATAGCAAGTGAGAAACTCTTTGGTCTCAAAACATAGTCCAAAAATTAGTGGACTTAAGTAAATGTCATTAAATTTTTAGTATTCCATGCAATAAATAAAATAATACCTTCTCTAGAGCTATGTAGCAATCCTGATAACTCACCTACAGTTTACAAGTTTTTAAAAAAGGTATCACTATAAATTTGTGGTAGTTATTGCAGCATCACTGCTGATGAATCTTTTGATTTTTAGAAGATATACGCAATGTAAACAGTGTTTTTTGTTTGTTTGTTTGTTTGTTTTAGGATGTAGAAAGGGGGGAGGGATATTTGGAGGTATATTTTGTTACAATAAAAATCTTTAGTTCTCCAAAACTTTATTGAATTTAAATATGCCTACACAAGGTAGGATATGTATATCATTGATTATCAAATAAATAAACTGATAATCTTCTTGGCTTGCCTTATTCCTATCTCACAGTGGAGACCGTGGATGTTACATTATAGACCTTGGTCACTCCAGGACTAGATATTAAACCTGTTAATGTTTTCTGCCACTTCAGTATTAGAAATCTGAGAGGCAGTAATGGTTGAGGCATTTTAGAGATACACTACAAATTGTTGGACTATTATAAAGTCTTGATACCTTATTCAATTCTCATAATTTTTTTCCTCAGACAAATTATGGAGTATATTTAGAGTCACAGTGAATTTAGAATTGTTACAAAATGCTGGTGAACATGATAATGCATCTGAAACTATTTATGCTGCTGCTGGTTCATAGTTTCTCAGTGCTGTCCGACTCTTTGCGACCCCATCGACTGTAGCCCACCTGGCTCCGCTGTCCATGGGATTTCTCAGGCAAGATTACTAGAGTGGGTTGTCATTTCCTTCTCCAGATGATCTTCCTAACCCAGGGATCGAACTCACTTCTCCAGCTTTGGCAGGTGGATTCTTTAACAGTGAGCCACTTGGGAAGCCGCCGAAGCTATTTATGTTTTTCTAAATATACCAGGAATAATGTTGTTGTTATTGTTACTGTTGATGTGAATGATATTGAAGCAGAATTTGCAATAGTGGTGAAAGGTAGTGGTCACAATCACTGTCGTGTCTCGACCTATTATTCTGGAGTACCATCAGTATGGGCAGCCTGGGATAACCATTTCCTTTCCTTCTGTTGTAGAGGACATTGGTTTGAGAACTTGTGGTACACAAAATAGGTGAGATATTACCAAAGTACATATATCACTGCAGTAGAATTAAAACAGAATTCTTCAAATAGTTTGTATTTTCAACTCCTTACTTTCAGAGAAATCTGTGTTAAATATGATTTGACTATAAAATAAACTAAGATTTTTAAATTAAGTTTGAAAATGTTTTATAAAATAATTGTTCTAATACTTAGATCAATTGCTTATCAATTTGACTTAATATCAATATTAGATCAATATAATTGATCTAATACTTAATACTTATGTAAAGCCAATATCTGAAAAAAATGGAAACATTGTTCAGCTCAGCTCCAATGTAGCTTTATAAATAGGTGTTTTCCAGCACATATTTTTGTGATCCCTAACATTTGATATGCTGTTGTTGAGTAAGATCTGTATAGAAAATATTTATATAACTCTACTTTCAATCAAAATGTTCTACTCTAAAGAAGATATTGTGTTTGAGATAATACTAATTGAATTAGTAATTCCATGAGTGGACTTTCAGTGAATACACAATAGTAAGGGACTAGCTCCCACATTGTCCATGCAGTTTTGGAGAAGACTGACAGTCTGTTGAGAATTTAGGTAAATTAATTCATAATACTGCTGAGTCATTATCGGTCCCTGATTTGCAGGGACTTTAAACTGATATTAACTCCTCACCTGAACACATACCCTAGATAACAGTCCAAGAGTCATAAGTAAATGTAAATTTCTGACATGATACCCCAAATGTCTTTGTTATAAACAGTCCCGCTATTTCCCAGGGAGGGCCTTTTCCTTGTGCCCCCTTAGGGGGGGAAAAAAAAAATCATGGGAAGCATACCAAAATTGTGCATTTTTCTTTTGTTTGAATTAACCAATATGGCCAAGGAACTTCAAAATACTCCACCTTTGGACAATGATAAAGGCATATACCCCACATTCAGCCTTTCTTTATGCCTGCACTCTTGCCTTGTCTTCCTCATATAGCTCCTGCTCCAGAATCTGAGAGTAATAAACTTCATTTCACTTTCGTTTGTGGTCTTTTGTTGAATCAGGGCTCACCATCCTACACCCCTGAGCTCCATTTAACATATGTTAATTTAACAAAGTCACAACACAGTGGGAAGCAGAACTGTTTTGATGGGTTGGAATTGAGATGAGTGCTGGAAGGAGGACTTCTGGATTGCAGGTTATATTTGTTCAGAAGTTTGCTATTTTTAAAAAGCCCAATTCAAAGGATATGACTATACCTTTTGTGCATAGTAAGAACTGGGGTCCAGTGATGTGAAATTATGCTTCAAGAAGCACCATGAAAAATCACATAAATTAGCAGTCCTGCAAGGACTGCACAAAGTACTAAAATCATAAGTACCTGTTATGTTTGTTTACCTATGTTTATTTACTAAGGTTCCCTCATATATACACATATATGTATCTACATGTGTATATAATTTATATGTGTATATATGTATAAGATGTATATATGTGTATATATACTGGATGGGGCAGTGTATTGTATAAAATGCACTCCATTTTTTGGTAGAAATATATCATTTATAATCTAAGATTAAAAAAGTCAAACTAGCCCAACGTTTATCTTTTTGCCTCTTGGATACCTCTTGGATATATTTTTAAAAATTATCAAGTGACTCTATTTTAGTTATTAGCTGCCTAAACTCTTTCTACTTCATCCTGAAAAATAGCATGCCTCTGATGAAGAACATGAGCTGCAGACCATCATCACTGGTGAGAGACAAACTGCACCTAGGTGACAAGCAATTAGTGGTATTCATGCAAATTATTTCTTTGCTCTGATTTAATCTTAGTTTAGATATTCTGTCTCAGAGAAATAGAATGGTAAGACAACTGGGAACAAAGATACATTTATGGATTTTACTATTATATTTTATATTATATATATTTAAAGAATATTCTTTTTTTTCTTTTTTTTTCCACTTATTTTTATTTGTTGGAGGCTAATTACTTTATAATGTTGTAGTGGGTTTTGTCATACATTGACATGAATCAGCCATGGATTTACATGTATTCCCCATCCAGATCCCCCCCCCCCCCCACCTCCCTCTCTACCCAATCCCTCTGAGTCTTCCCAGTGCACCAGGCCCGAGCACTTGTCTCATGCATCCATCCTGGGCTGGTGATCTGTTTCACTATAGATAATATACATGTTTCAATGCTGTTCTTCATTTGAATCAGTTCTAATGAGATGGATGAAACTGGAGCCTATTATACAGAAAGAATATTATTTGATCCTTTGACACATATACTTTGATTATTAGAGAGAAACTGGTCTAATATATGATCTGTGAAAATCACACCCAAGTGACTGAATTTATTCTTCATGGTTTCACAAACAACCCTGAGATGAAAGTTTCCCTCTTTGTTTTGTTCCTGGTCATCTATACATACAGTCACTTTATTGGATAACTTCCTTATTGTCACAGTTACCAGTATGGATCCTGCTCTTCAAACACCCATGTACTTCTTTCTCAGGAACTTGTCACTTCTTGAAGTCTGTTTCACCTTGGTATGGCACCAAATATGTTGGTAGATCTAGTATCCCCAAGAAAAAGCATCTCTTTTGTAGGCTGTGGTACCCAGATGTACTTATTTTTCTTCTTTGGCAGTTCCGAATGTTTCCTCCTCTCCATGACGGCTTATGATTACTTTGTGGCCATCTGTAATCCTCTCCGCTATTCAGTCATAATGAATAGGTCCCTATGTTTGTAGATGGCTGCAGGTTGATGTCTGGTGTTCCTGTGTCCATGCTACAGACAGCTTGGTTGATGGCCCATCCTTTCTGTGAACCAAGCACCATAGACCACTTCTTCTGTGATGGTTCCCCAGTGTTGAAACTAGTCACCTTGCATTTCAAGTACTTGCCTCCACACTGTTATTTATTATGTTTCCCTTTTCCCTCATTTTGGTCTCCTACACTCACATTATTAAAACCATCCTGATGATGCCCTCTGTTACTGGTTGCCAGAAGGCATTCTCCACTTGTTCACCTCACCTTATTGTGGTATCCCTTTTCTATGGAACAGCCAGATTGATCTACATACGGCCCAAATCCAACCAGTCTCCTGAGAGCAAGAAGCTAGTGTGTCATTGTCCTTCCTACACTGTCATCACACCTATGTTAAACCCCATCATCTACAGCCTAGGGAACAATGAATTGAAGGAGGCAGTCAAGAGGACGATCACTTGAAAAGTCTTGCAGAAGTTAGATGTGCTTTGAATTCAATTGTGTCAAGTTTTTCTAAACAGAGTAGGAGCACCAGAACCCATGAACAAAAGCTTTGAAGGAGTGGAAGATTTGCTCTTACTTTGTCAAGGTCACTTACTATGATGGGTGAATCTCAGTGTCTCAGTCAGAGTCCCAGCTCAGACTGGGATAACTGAGTTCTTTTATGAAGGGATTATTCACAAATTGTGGGGCAGCTCATATGATGGAAATTCCATGTCTCTTGACCTGAAAGGCAAAGAAAAGAGGTATTAACTGGCACTTTAGAGAATCTTAAAACTCTAAGAAAAACCTGCTCATTGGAAGCTTTTTTCTTTAGTAGAGAAAGGCAACCATCTCAGCCTAATTCTCCTCTGACTCTCTTACATCTATTTCTGGTATCTTTTCTTGATCAAACAAATTTGAGACAGAGGGCAAGAGTGTCCATTGGTACAATATAATGAACAGCCTTCTGGGGCACAGATCAGAATGGAAAAAGTTATGAAGGGTAAATGAAAATATCTGCCACAAACCACTGTATATTCTGCATTTAATGTGATGCAAAGACTATCATGTAATGTGTTTTAAGTTAATTTTTAAAAGATAATAAAAGGTAGAGATTTGTAGTTGCCAAAAATTCATGGTGTAAATTCTTTATAAGTGTGGTGGCTTTGAATGAGGTTACTTTAAAAAAATTACCTTAGTTTTAATATTTGTCATCATACTTCTGGACTTCTTTGATCATTGGCTAAATCTGCTGTTAATTTGGATTAATCAGCTATTTGTTGCTGTTATTGTTCAGTTGTTGTGTCTGACTCCTTGTGACCCCATGAGTGCCAGGTCTCCCTGTCTTTCACTGTATTCCAGAAGTTGCTCAGATCATATTCATTGAGCTGGTGATGATGTCTAATCATCTCATCCTCTGTTGCTCCCTTCTCATTTTCCTTCATTCTTCCCCAGCATCAGGATCTTTTCCAACGAGTCAGCTCTTCATATCATAGCCAAAGTATTGGAGCTTCAACTTCAGCATCAGTCCTTCCAATAAATATTCAGGATTGACTTCCTTTAGGATTGACTGATTTGAACTCCTTGGAGTCTAAGGGACTCTCAAGAGTTCTCCAGCACCACAATCAGCTATTAGAATCTAAACAACAATCTTTGCTTGACAATATTGTAAATGAAAAAGAGTAAAGTTAGTAATAGCTAACATGAACTGGACATGGAACAACAGACTGGTTCCAAATAGGAAAAGGTGTACATCAAGGCTGTGTATTGTCACCTGCTTATTTAACTTATATGCAGAGTACATCATTGGAAACGCTGGGCTGGAAGAAGCACAAGCTGGAATCAAGATTGCCAGGGGAAATATCAATAACCTCAGGTATGCAGATGATACCACCCTTATGGCAGAAAGTGAAGAGGAACTAAAAAGCCTCTTGATGAAGGTGAAAGAGGAGAGTGAAAAAGTTAGCTTAAAGCTGAACATTCAGAAAACTAAGATCATGGCATCTGTTTCCATCACTTCATGGCAAATAGATGGGGAGACAGTGAAAACAGTGCCAGACTTTATTTTTTGGGCTCCAAAACCACTGCAGATGGTGATTGCAGCCATGAAATTAAAAGACGCTTACTCCTTGGAAGGAAAGTTATGACCAACCTAGATAGCATATTAAAAAGCAGAGACATTACTTTGCAAACAAAGTTCTGTTTGGTCAAGGTTATGGTTTTTCCAGTGGTCATGTATGGATGTGAGTGTTGGACTGTGAGGAAAGCTGAGCACAGAAAAATTGATGCTTTTGAACTATGGTGTTGAAGAAGCCTCTCGAGAGTCCCTTGGACTGCAAGGAGATCCAACCAGTCCATCCTAAGGGAGATCTGTCCTGGGTGTTCATTGGAAGGACTGATGCTGAAGCTGAAACTACTTTGGCCACCTCATGCGAAGAGTTGACTCATTGGAAAAGACCCTGATGCTGGGAGGGATTGGGGGCAGGAGGAGAAGGGGATGGCAGAGGATGAGATGGCTGGATGGCATCACCGACTAGATGTGCATGAGTTTGAGTAAACCCCGGGAGTTGGTGATGGACAGGGAGGCCAGGCGTTCTGCCATTCATGGGGTCGCAAAGAGTCGGACACAACTGAGCAACTGAAATGAACTGAACTGAACTGAACATGATTTTTCAAGTCACTGCCTTTAACAAATGCACCTGCAACAACCAAGAGATAGATTTTCTTTTGCATTTATGTTTTTGTAAAATAAAAATTAGGATCAGAAAATTAATTTGAAAAGGCAAAGAGTTATGCAGAGGTGGTCCTAAGAATTTGAATTCATACTCTTTTGAATTTGAGGTCCAATATCTTAACCACTTAAAAGTCTCTAGTCACATTTTCATCATGATAAAGTCCCCACTTACTTGGTAATTTGGCCTTTCAGGCATGAAAGCACTTTGAGACAGCATAGAAGAACAAAATGAATAATTTAATTTTTGAAAAATCTTTTATTTCCACTAGCATAAGCATATATTGACTTTGAATATGCAATTTATATATAATGATATCAGTTGCTCTGAGTCTTTGTTAGTGTTTTTTTTTTTTTTTAATTTTACAATTTTTCTTTAGGCAGTAACAACTCTCAATCGTTATTTGTCAATTTTCAAGAAAATTTAAAAGTCATCTCAAATTTCCAGCTTGTGTTGACTATTTTACATTAATTGTGTTTCCCTGAATTTTGTATCCATTGAATGTAATGGGAATTTGAGGCAGGAAATATCAATTCTTTTAAATATTTCTCTTCCAGTGGCCTTTTAATTTCTTAAGCCTAACTCAAATATTTTAAAATTAATGTTACTAAGTTCAGTGACCCTATGGCAAGACTCTATTGCAGTGGTTTCCTACTAGCTTTATGTGACTCAGAAGTAAATTGTGAGATGTTAAATCTATTGAGTAGCACATGTGTATGCATTTAATAAATTAGCATAATCAAATATAGAGAAGAATAAAATAAGCAATATATGAAAATAATTTATGAGAGCATCTTATACATGGTAAATACTATCTGGTTGTTTGATAATATTATTGTTAGAATAACAGAAAATATGGAGTGGACCCCACATATTATAGGGTATGTTTTAGTTATGCATATATTCCATTCTGATTGAAATGCAAATTAATTTCTTCTATAAGATGAAAGCAAAAATGTTCATAGATCATATACATATTGCATATTCTATAAGATTGATAGTCTATAAGTTTTTACAGAGAATTTATAATTATTATGTTTCAAATAGTTTTATTAAAATTGATAAAATTCCCTTAATTGCAAGATCTTCATAGAGATGTTTTAAAAAAAACTTCAGCCTCAATTTACAGGTTTATTTTTTTCTGTTTTTATAAAATTTCTATTTATTTATTTTGGCTTCACTGTGTCTATTCTGCTGCTCATGTGCTTTCTCTAGTTGCATGAAGTGGGGACTGTTCATCCTCGTGGTACATGGGCCTCTCATTGTGGTGGTTTCTCTTGTTGCTGTCTGTGGGCTCTAGAGGAGCTATGGAGCATGGGCTCAGTTGTTCCACAGGATATGGAATCTTGCTGAACCAGGGATGGAATCCCATCTTCCCTGCATTGGCAGGCAAATTCTTATCCACTGTGCTACCAGGGGCATTCGATTTTGTTTCTTTAAAGTTCCAAAAGCTAATTAACAAAGTCATTATTATATCTGGAGTTACGATTGAAAAGGTTGATTTGATGACTTTTTCTCTCAAACCAGTGCTGTTTAATGTTTTCTTTACTAACAGTAATTCCAGGACTTGTGGTAGTGGTTTATTCTCTCAGTTGTGTCTGACTCTTCCAACCCCTTGGATTGTAACTCACCAGACTCCTCTGTCCACGAGATTTCCTAGGCAAGAATACTGGAGTGGGTTGCATTTCCTTCTCCAGTGGAATCTTCCCAACCCAGAAATCAAACCCGGGTCTCCTGAATTGCAGGTGGATTCTTTACCGACTGAGCTACAAGGGAAGCCCCAGGGTTTACTTCAGGCCATATAGTTTTATCATTGTTACTAAGGTGATATCATTGACTTTTTGCAGAAAACGTTTTGCATAGAGTCCTTCCTTTGTTTTCAGTTTCATAGATGGCTTTCAAATATATGTCTCCACATTGTTATTTACAAGCAATTCTGGAAATATTTCCTTTAAATGTCCTCTAGTTTGAGTATTAGAGGGTGTCCTCCAATGCCAAACCTGGTACACATGAGAAAAGAATTAGCTAGATTGATTAGTTTTATAGTATGCAATCCTGTTACATATTATGGGAGCTGAGGCAAGAAGAAAAAGTGATCAAACATATTTTTTATTTCAGTATAACTTAAAAAGTTTGTGTGGTTTATTTCAGTGGCACTCTAGTCAGATTAATGAATCCAATCCAATGTATATCATAGTTTATATGTATATTTTACTGTGAAATAAATAAAATTGTCCTAAAGGAATTTTAGATTTGGTTAAGAGACATAACTTAAGAACAATTTGCTAGTAAAAATACAATTATCTAATGATGACATAAAGCAAAATTCTTAACCTCCAAAGTCAATATTACAATAACAAAGACATGCACATTCATAAACTTATTATAAATACTGATAGTGAGTTCTGTGAAAGTTCAGGTAGTAGAGAGAACAAAATGTATGTGACATGCTGATTCACTGTGAAATAAAACCTACAGACTTGATAGTCAGATAATCACAAATTTGAATTCAGAACCCAATACTGAGTATTTATCCTCCATGAATTTTTGTTTCTGTCCATGTTTTTGGCAAAGTCATTTGAGTTTTTATTGTGCTATTACAACTTAATATATTCAGAAAAGAGGGGGCAGGAGTTATCTATGGATCACTTAGCCTCTGGACTCCTCATTTTATGGTTCTAAGGGCAAGGATGAAACCGTCTACCATGGAGAAGAGATGAAGGCTGGATAGACCATGTTTTACCAGAC